AAAAACCCCCCCCCAACCCCCCCCCCCCCGAACTTCATCTTATTTAACTGAAAATGTAAGCTGTGGTCTGCCTCCGAAAGCCTTCCATCACGGAGGGGACGGGGAGCCGCCTCCCTCGCCGGCTTTTCAGCCGCTCGCCTTCACTTCCAAGCGTTTGATGATCTTTCAATAACCACCTGGTCTTTCTCTGTGAACTGTGTTTTTTAGAAACGTGGGGTATTTTAACGACTTTTGATAACATCTTTTCCTCCAGTCCGGGACTGCCAGGAGCGCTCACGCCCATGGCTTGGGGGAGCCTGAACCAGAGCAAAGGGGGTGCGGGTGGGTGCCCTGTTTCCCATGGGAAGAGGTTTTGGTTTCCCCCCCCCCCCCGTTCTCCTCATTTTTCAGGAATGCACTAATAAAATTTTTTTTTTTTTTTTTTTTTTTGCATCTGTAGCTCCCAGAAAGGATCTTTCCCCATTACCCATTAGTTGCAGGAAATAGTGTACCACTTCCAGACTTAAAAAAAAAAGGGCACTGTCGAGGTATCTCTGTAACAAAGTTAGATGTTTCCTCTTCCTTGTCAGCCTTTTAACTTGTTTCTGTGGCAAAATGTGATGCAGAGAGTCAGGTTGCTGCCGCATCAGCTTCATTTTTTTTAAAGGACTGCAGGAGTCTGGGGCTGTGAGAAGAGGGCAGGGGGCACATATCCCATCCTAACAACCCCAGTAGTGTTTATTTTAAATTTTATCTTTTATCTGAAGAATTACAGCTGCCCTTTGCTGAGAATGGGGGCTCCGCATCCTCCTCCCCGTCCCCGGCGGGTTTTGGGGCGAAGCAGCCAGCATCTGGGGGGCTGTGGAGCTCTTAAAAGGTGGGTTTGGGGGCAATTTGGACCCGCGTATTCTTTCCCAAGGTAAAGACGTCAGCAGGAATTTGGCACGCCAAAGCCGCTTCATCCTTTGAGAACGGGCAGGAGGTTTTCTTCTTCCCAGACTGAAGCACTCGCTTGTGTACATATTCCCTGCAAATTCTGTTGTTGTTTCTATTTTTTCCAATTTGCTGTTAATTTCTTTTTTAATGTTACAAACAATCTCTTCCTTGAGCTTATAACATTGCAAAATTGAAGTCTCTAAACTCAGTGGGTTAAGGTATTAGCCAGGGCCGTGGCTTCAGGGCCAAGTGATGTACGGCCGCACCGTGGCATCGCCGTATCTCACAGAGGACGCAGGTACAAGATGTGATCAAAGGCCCAGTTACTGTTTTGTCTGTTATTTGCAAACATTATCGGATTAAAATTGTCATTTGAGCTGTGGAAGCCTTATTAAAGCGCATACACATGGTCTGTCTTGTATTTTAACACCTCGCCTGAAGGATGGGGATTTCTTAGGCTGCAAATCTCGCTCCGGGCCATCCCAAAAAAAGGGCTGGGGCTGGGAGTGAGCGGGATCCCTCCGGAGCTGGGCATCGCACCAACCTTGGCACATCGCGTGTTTTTTATTGGAGGCTCAACGGTGCCGTGTGCCGCCTGGCAGCCCTTTCCCCATGGAAGCACAGGTGCGGGATGGGCCAAGGCAGCTGCAGGGTTGGTTTTGGTGTCCCCAACCCCACACCGGCGCGTCACGTCTCACCCTGTCCCCGCACTGGCGCGTTGCCCGGGTTGCCGCTTCCCCGGGGGGGCTGCGTGGCCGGGGCTCGGTGCCAGGCCCCGGCTCCTTCCGCCCTGGCACCCGGCAGCGGGGAGCCGGTGCCAGCCATTCCTCGAGGGCCCCCGGAGCTGGGGTGTCCCTCTGAAATAGCCCCTGAGGGGAGATGGGTGGGGGGGGGGGATGTCACTCACCTCCTGGGTGCTGTTGGGGGGTGATGGAGAGGGTCTTGGGGAGGTGG